GAGGACGCTGCCTAAATAGAGATGTGAACAGGTGCACATAATAATGAAACAGGTGAAACTAATGTGAGTGATGAAGAACGTAAAGAAAAGACCAGAACTAAGGTGAAACAAAACAGGAAATAGTGTCAAAATAAAAGCCAGACGGGAAGCAGTGGAACCGGATCATGACAGACGCTCCTGGCCTGTTCAGTGAAAAATTGACTCTTTCCATCATGTCTGTGGGCTTGTTTAAATGGACTGTGTGTTTAGGTGATAGTCCAGAGGTGCCTTGCAGCTCGTAGTCTCAGCGACGTGAAGGCCGGCTGCATCATGTGTGGCTACCTCAAACTGCTACCAATGTTCCTCATGGTGTTCCCAGGCATGATCAGCAGGGTCCTCTACCCAGGTCTTACTCTTTTCCTTATATATCCAGTTTAAAGAAGGTTGACATAAACAAAAGAAATACTGTAGGATACAATATAACTTTGCTGCAGTAGATACCATTCTGGTAAAAGTGTGCTGACTCACCATAAATGTAATGTATAAAACCCAGGTTGAAAAAGGCTGAACTCTTTTTAAGCAATGTCTGACCTATATATAGGAAAGGTACCTGTATCTTCACAGTATGTGTGCGTTTCTATGCACCTGCAGATGAGGTTGGCTGTGTAGTCCCTGAGGTGTGTAAGCAGGTGTGTGGGACTGAGGTGGGCTGCTCCAACATTGCTTATCCTAAACTGGTGGTGTCACTCATGCCAAAAGGTAAGGTTAAATAACAATGGCTACCTTTTAAAGAAGAAGAGGAAGGAGAACTTTACCATACATTTTTATCACTCCCTAACCCTACTCTCTCCACCTTCTCCTGCTCTTTTCTCCATCTCCTATCTAAATATCTAAAATACAGTAAGTAGGCTAATCTGAGGAAAATGTATATTTTATCTTCAGCAGGGGGTGCAGTAGAACATAACTACACTATGCCCAGGACAGTCTAAATAATACCCAGTTGACAGGAACTACTTCTGCTTCCGCCTGTCACAGTCATAAGCAAACTATGGCTCTGAAAATGCCTGAGCCACTCAGAATCAGAATAAGAAAAACAAATAGTCTGGATTTCATATGCAGGTGCCAGTAGGAGGGATGTAAACAGTATGTAGAGGTAAAGGGTCCCTGTATGTATGTAATACAGATGTAGTCCCACTGCCAACATTTGCCACAGAAACAGTACAAGCTACATTTGTGACCAGGGTGGCACCATTTCTTGTTAATAAAAGTGATAATTTATGCCTTATATCTCCTTCTCTCCATCATTCTCTGTTCCCTGGACCCATCTCTTTTCACTCAAATCAAATCAAATCAAATCAAATTTTATTTGTATAGCGCCAAATCACAACAAAGGTCATCTCAGGACACTTTACAAAGTAAGGTCTAGACCTTACTGTTATCAATATTATTACATAGGGAAAACCCAACAAATCCCCCTTGAGCAAGCACTTGGCAACAGTGTGTAATGGTGGCATATAGAAGCATAGGGAGAGAGAGGAGAGGAGAGGAGAGCAGAGCAGGAGGGGAGGGGAAAGAAACTCAGAGCATCATGGGGCCCCCAGCAGCCTAGGCCTATAGCAGCATAACTAAGGGAAGGCTCAGCCCTAACTATAAGCTTTATCAAAAAGGAACGTCTTAAGTCTAATCTTAAAGGTAGAGAGGGTGTCCGCCTCCCGAACTGAGACTGGGAGTTGGTTCCATAGGAGAGGAGCTTGATAGCTAAAGGCTCTGCCTCCCATTCTGCTTCTGTGGACTCTAGGAACCACAAGTAGACCTGCACTCTGAGAGCGAAGTGCTCTGTTAGGATGATAAGGCTCTACGAGGTCTTTATGATACAATGGAGCCTTGTTATTAAGGGCTTTGTATGTTAGGAGAAGGATTTTAAATTCTATTCTGAATTTTACAGGGAGCCAGTGGAGAGAAGCTAATATGGGAGAGATATGATCTCTCTTGCTAGTTCCTGCCAGTACTCTGGCTGCAGCCTTTTGGATTAACTGGAGGCTTTTTAGGGAATTATTGGGACATCCTGATAGTAAAGAGTTACAGTAGTCCAGCCTGGAAGTAACAAATGCATGGACCAGTTTTTCAGCATCACTTTGAGACAGGATGCTCCTGATTTTTGCAATATTGCGCAGGTGAAAGAAGGCAGATCTAGAGACTTGGTTTATGTGTGATTTAAAGGACATATTCTGATCAAAGATGACGCCAAGGTTCCTCACAGTAGTACTGGACGCAAGAGCTATGTCATCTAAAGTAACTATATCACTCATTTTTTTCATTTTGGTATTGGCGATACCAGCCTAGATTTTACTTGGAATCGGCTCAGAAAGGAAAAAAGTGGTATCACACTTCACTACTTGTTCCATCCACTTCCCCTCCTGCTGCGTGTCTCGGCAGGTTTACGAGGCCTGATGCTGGCTGTGATGTTAGCTGCTCTCATGTCCTCTTTGGCCTCCATCTTTAACAGCAGCAGCACTCTGTTCACCATGGACATCTGGACCCGCATCAGACCACAGGCCACAGAGCAAGAGCTCATTATTATAGGCAGGTAAATTAACATTGTTATAGTAAGTGCTACATTGGATGGATGTTAAAACTTAAAGTGTTGGCTTCTTAATGCTTTCTAGCACAGTATATCCTGTCTTTTCATGAAGGCATGGTATTGCATGTGTCATACACAGGGAGGATTTATGACTTGACTGATGTGGCCTTTCGAAGGGCAATTTCTTTGCATTCAAACTTTTGGTCTGTAAATTGACAAGAGCTGATATTTTGTGCTATTAAATATCTAATACATTTAATCACTGCTCATACTTATTTTTCTATCTCTCTTAAGAGTCTGGGTGCTGTGCATCGTAGCAATCAGTATCTGTTGGATCCCAGTTGTCCAGGCGGCACAGAGTGGTCAGCTGTTCGATTACATCCAGTCAATCTCGAGCTACCTGGCTCCCCCTATCGCCTCCGTCTTCCTGCTGGCTGTGTTTGTGAAAAGGATCAATGAAATGGTGAGATGGTATCTGCATACATGGTAACACATAATCACATTACATCATATTATTTGGCCATTAAAGAAATGAAACACTGGGCAAAAATTTCTGTCTGCCTTGACTTCCAGGGTGCATTCTGGGGCCTGATAGGCGGTCTGGTGATAGGCCTGTGTCGGATGTTGCCTGAGTTCTGGTTCGGCACTGGCAGCTGTATTTTCCCTTCTGACTGCCCCTTCTTGGTGTGTGGGATCCATTACCTCCATTTTGCCATCATACTCTTCTTCTGTACATCAGCGCTGGTGCTGCTTGTCAGCTACTGTTCTGAGCCTATAGAGGATCAACATGTAAGTGACATTTTACTTATGTAACAAGTTTCAATACTAAATGTCTAAAAACTTCATTAAGGTTCCATGACACAAAAACATTTAAGAATCACTTATCTGCATTACTGCCATTTAATAAAATATTTACAAATAAAGTCTATTAGTTTCCGTGTCTTATGAAAATGAGCTCTTTTCCCTCCAGCTCCATCGTCTGGTGTTCAGCCTGCGTCACTCAAAAGAGGAGAGAGAAGATTTGGACTGGGAACAAGTAGATAAAGGGAGGAGAGCCCGCAGAGAGGCTAAGGAGAGGATGAAAGAGAATAGTGTTGCAGGTAAGAAAGGAAATCAGTCACAAATACAGAAAAATGGAATGAACATACACCTAAATAAAGTAGTCTCTTGCTCCCCTTCAGTGGCTGAGGAGGAAGAAAAGTCTGGTATCCGTCACCTGGTTGGCCGTTTCTGTGGAGTAACCAGTGGCTCCCAGGACCTTGAGCAAGAAGCAACAGAGGCACCAGAGCAGATGCCTGACATTAGAGAGGACCTAGTGTGGAAGTACACTGTGGATGTGAATGCTCTCATTATGATGGCTGTAGCAGTTTTTATGTGGGGTTACTATGCTTAAGAGAGAGATGCTTTCCTAGGGGAAATGGGTATTAAAATGTGAATTTGTATCTTGATGTAACTGGGTTAAATCACTCTGTTGGGGTGGTACAGTACTGCAAGTCAATCTTTAAGCTGCTTAAAAATAAATACAGCAGTGTTGCCGTCTGTTGGTGGCAACTTGTCACTACACTGAACATACCTTTCTTTTTCAAAAGCATTCACAGTAGGGTCATACCAATCTACCACCAGTCTTACATTTTATGTAGCACAAGAGGCTGTGATGCATCACTGCATCTCTTCACTTAATACTGACAAAATGTTTTATCAGGTTAAATTACCATTATTGTATACCGTTACATGTTGATTCAATCATAAGTCAATCTTTGACTAAGAGGTGAGACAGAAAACGTATTTTGAAATCAGGTCAAGTACAAACTCAGTAAAGCCTCAAGTAGCTATAAGATTTGCAACAAAGTCTGGCTCAAACCAATGGAACCATACTCACCTACCCACTTTAATTTTACTAGAACAATGTAAAAATGCTAATTTCTACTGGTGTTCATACTGAAGTGATGTATGCATTTTAGTTCTCAATATATATAGCCTAAAATATAAGATTGCTTTTTTTTTTTAATATTTGTATTTCACAATGGCATACTTTTTTCTTATCCCATATACTTAGTGTTGGTCAGACTAAATGCTGCTTTGATAAGTTTTGGTAATGCCACTGAACAAGAGACTGAATCACTATGGATGAACAGCTTAAAGCCATCATTAGTAACAGAACATACAAACTAGGTTGTGATTTCCAGTTTAAATCATCACTTCTGTTTTATTTAAGCAGGTATTTCCCAATAGCATTGTACATGTCTGGAACCTACAGCGTTCTCCCATGACTACCCAATCATTTTTCCACCTCCATGCAGTTTCAGCATCATTCATCAATCAATTTAATGTCCAGTCTGTCAGCTTGTGGGGGGGTGTGGGGGAGTATAAAAGCAAGGGAGAAGGGGAAGGAGTGGGAAAGAGGATTGTTTCCAAGATTGAAGAGTCAGAGCCATCACCAGGCACTGTTCATCATACACTCCCACATAAAGAGTTATGGGTGGATCCAGTAGAGCTGGATGAGTCTATCGAGCATCTTAAATCTAACCACCTTCAGGGTCCAGTGCAACTCCCAATACTCTTCATCATCTGTGAGGTATCTGATGCCTCAGTCTCCTGCAGGGTGGGTGAGAGGTAGGGGGCTTTTAAGGCTGGAAGCTGGTGTAGAGTTTCTGTGGTCTGTGATAGTTTGTTTCACCCGCTTTGAAGCATGAATGACAGCTTTGGCAAACACTGCCCTCTACCAAATTGGAGGATGGAAGGGAGGAGGAAAGGAAGAGAACTGGGGGTTAAAACAAAGAAGTATTTAAAAAAATACCTCTTTGCAGGTTAACAGACTGATACAAGGAGAACACAGTCCTCAAGAATAAAAGCAAATACAACAGCAAACATTCTGACACACACTCTACTAAAAGAGCCAAAACAAAATAATAAAAAAAAACCACAAGCAAATCAAACAAACAAACCATACAAAGTGACATCAGGCCTTTCCAAAGTGACATCAAGTTTCTCTTCTTAATCCCATCCAATCCCACTGCTATTAATCAATGAAGTCCATCTCCCACAATTCTCTGTAACCCAGAATATATCTGTGGCTCCTCTTTATGGCTCGTCAGCAAGGTTAGGGTCCACTCTGAAACAATGACAAGAACAGGTCTCAGTGGCCAGTGAGACTGGCCAGTATGGAGTCTGTGCCTGTCATTAACCAATGCTATGGCTATTTCAGACTTATATCAGTGACACAGGCAATAATTTCAGCAGCATTATCAGGAGACTGGTCAACATAATACACCATTACAGCACATTCAGAGAAATAGAAATTCATGGTGCAGGACAGCTACACATAGCATTCTTGTACTAAGGAAAATCAAGTTTGCTTTATACAATCACATTCCACCACTTTACATCTGTTGGACCCAGTACAGCTCATTCCTTGAAGCACCATTGTACAGCTAACTGGAAGTTGGTGATACAACACATAACAAGTACTGGGAACAGTAAGCAGGCTCTAGGGCATTACATTTCTATGAGTCACTTTATGAATGCTAATCTCAATCAAATACACATTGCGGTTTTCACATGAATTACCCAACAACCATGAATGGAGTTAGACAGAAACCCAAATGATTAAGAGGCAAAAGAGAGCTGACTGACAGCAGCAGCAGGGGACCCCAACCCTGGTATGCAAACTTAAAGGTGCCACTCTGGAGCCCAGTGGGGGAGGGGGGACATGATAAAAAGGCAAAGAGAGTGTCACACCTCTCAATTTCCTTTCACTGAGGGCAAGAACAAAAAAAGGAGTGCTGAGCAAAAGAAAAACAAAACTAGTCCTGGAGTGCTGATTTCTTCTTGTACTTCTCTCATTTCCCCTGTTTGTTGTCTGAACAGAGATGAGAGGGAGAATGAAGGTGCACAGGAGGAGGTGACAGTTGTATGAGTAAGATGTACTCTTTCCTCTCTACCTGGCCTCCTCCTTCCTGTCCTCCCTCTTGGTGCGGATGGGCTGAGAGCCATCAGCAGGCTGTTGGACCCAGTTGTTATCATGAAGCCCAACACGGCAACCTGGTGTGTCCTTGTCTGTACGCCGGCAGCACATCCAGTAGGAACGTCCATAAGGCAGGTCGTGGTGGTAAGGTTTGGGGTGCCAACGGCACAAGGAAACATCCCCACGCTCATATTGCCGCTTGCACTGCTTGCAGGGGTCATCTCTGTAGAGAGGGTCTTGATTCCAGCGTGAATCCACTGCCCGCACCCCATATGTCTCAATCAACACCTTGAAGTAGTGGCAGGTGCACTTAAGGGCTGCCAGTGAGCGCGTCGGCAGATAGCTGAAGATGTTGACCATAATGTGATCAGGCAACAGCAACATGTACTGGCGGGGTTCAAGGAGGCGCTGAATCTGAAAGCGAATCTCCAGAAAGTCATGGGACACATGGCGGTAGAGACGACACAGGGAAGGGTCTGAACAGTCCTCTCCAACCCCAGGAGAGTCTGGTCGAGTTGCCCGCTCCCCTGAGCCCACTGCCACCCCTGGTCCAGGACCATTGTTGTTGGCACAGTCCAAAGAGCAGATTCCTGACCCACTGCCAGGGCCTGTTCCTTTTACATCTTCCTCTGAGCCTCGAGGGGGCTGAAGGAAAAAGAGCTGTCCAGGAGGGGGATCATCTGATGAAGGGTCAGTGGAGGTGCCTACACCCCCACTATTCCCTACCCCAGTTGGCATAGCGAAACACACCGTCTCCTCCTGCACATTCTCTGTACTATCCTTGCCATAAAACACACATTGGTCCACAGCACCCGTCACCACCACTTCCACATGGAAGCCAGTCACTCGCTCCCTCCCTACACCCACACATTTCTTCTCCGCAGAAGAAAGTTCCTGTGTTGCGTCTGAGCTACCACCAGCTTGCCTGTCTGGGTGATGGTGGTCTCCATCTGGTTTGGGGGCAGCAGTTGTGGCAGCAAGCAGCAGGCTACTGGGGTCTCTTGATGAGGGGCTGACGAGCTGGTAGAGGTCACAGGTGATTTTCTCTTTGGCCCTGGCTGCTGCCTGGTTTCCCCCACCACCGCAGCTCATAAACATACAGCGCGACCTGCCAGCCGGCTCCAACTGAGACCGAGGGTCCAGATTTGACACTCGAAAAGCTATCCTAACCTCACCATGACTGTGACTGGGAGGTGGAGGAGGGGTAACAATGCCAGACTCCCCTCTTTTTCTATACTCTCTTTCTCGGCTTTGATTAGAGGATTCTATTCCTGAACCAGTACCTAGATGGAGCTGATTCTCCAGGTTCTGGGACTCAAAGTGTGCGATGGCCTGGGCAACCCTGCATGACTCCTGCTGCTCCTCCAGTTCCTGGTCTGTCTGGATGGGAGATGATGACTCCTGGGCATCTTTGGAGGGCTGGGCATTTGAACTATCAGACAGAAACACCATACGTGCAGGATCTGACACTGAGTTCCGGAGTAGAGTGTGTTGGTGGGGGGAAAGAACCTGACTGGGAGTGGTAGTAGGGGGCTGGTGGTGGTGCTGGCTCCCATGAACAGCCACGATCCCCTGGAGGGCCATGGCGGTCCTCTGTTCAACCAAGGCAACCATCTCTGCCACCGACAGGAGGTCCATTTCATTCACCCCTCTTTGTGGTGACTCATTAGAGATAGGAGGTGCAAGGGAGGAGTCATGGCTGAGGTGTGGCTCTGAGGCATTGGAGCGTGTTGGAGGATCATAGAAGGAGCATCGTCTTCGTCTTTTGGCTTTGCTGCAGTCAGTTGCCCAGTTACCTTTAACCTGTGGAGAAGAACAAAATAATATTCATTTGAAATCTAACCACGTTAAATTAAAATCTCTTACAATAAGCAAATTGCTACTGCATTTTTTGCTTCAGCTCCTTACCTTCATGGCACTGGGTCTGGGCTGGCCTGCTCCACTGAACTGGTGTGCAACAAAGAAGGCAATTTTCTCCTTGGTGTTGCCTGGTTTAATGACATACCAAGTGTCTAACAGCACGCGGCCATCTTCCATCTGGGAACCAGAAGAGGCTGGTGAGGGAGGGGCCATAGAGGGTGGAGGGGCCTGGCTCTGTGTTAGTGAGTTGGAGTCATGTTCAGGTTCAGGCGGAGTGTTCTCTGAGCCCACATCCTCTTCTCCACTCTCTTCCTGCACCCCCACTATCATCCCTCCATCTTCATTTCCATCCACTGTCCTTGTGGTACCTGGAGAGGACTCAGTCTTGCAGAGGGAGGGGGATCCTGCCCCGCCGACCCCTCCACTGTTGCCCCCTGAGCCTAGGCTCCTAGCTTTGTTCTGGGAGTAGGTGCCAAACGGGCGTGGGCACCAAAGACGGATGTGGGAGAAGGTGTCTCGGTCCATCAGGATGCAGACCACCGGGGCATATCTGCACCTATGCTGGCCAGCACACACGCAGAGCTCTCATTGTCAGCTCCCTGTCCCAGTGCCAACCTGATGGGCACTGCCTGCCACCAAGCTCACCAGCAGCAATGGGCATACAACCTCTGTCAACAAGACAGGTAGAGCTGGTGGGACAGGATGGAGTACTGGCAGGGAGAAATGAAAGAAAAGAGGAAAAACAACAGTGAGGCAACAGCTGAATGAAAAAAAAGAGTTCATATTATTAGAGCAACAATGTTGGTCAGTGCTGGTATCAATTTAGATAAGCAATGACCAACAGAGGCATACCCTGAGGTACAATTCAGACAGGATGTTAGCACTGTGCACCAGCAGCCCAGCCACTCAAATGGAGAGAGCAGAACTACCATGATACTATCTGAACTTATCACAAGTGGCCTGCCTCCTACTTTGGCTAAACTCAGTTAGCAATTTCATTAGCTACTGTGCACTAAGCTCATCTCCCCTGCTTCAGAGCCTGTAAATCATATTAAAGGGATTCCATTTCAGGTTCAGTGTCTGCAGCCGGCAGATGAAAGGGATGAAAGATGGAACACAAAGGCTCCAAATGGACCCTCTTTTCTCTCTGCATCTCATTGCTTCAAAGAGGATTTTTTTATTAGGAGGCAACACGGAGAAGCATGCAGGCATATGCTGGACCTATTTTTAGCAAAGAGCAAGAGGGAATGGGGTAATAGTGAAAGCTGTAGCTGTCCTCACTCCTTTCTCTCAGTCAAAGAGCCTAGAGTACAGGCTAAGGGGGGAAGCCTTTAGTCCACCCAGCATGCCTTGCTTCTCTAGCTATGCCAGCTGTAGGGGCTGCCAGGAACGTGTCAGCATGCTTAAGGAGAGGAACAAGAGGCAATGGAGCAACATGCACTACTCATCTTGAACCCAGAGTTGTACTTCATTTGCTCACCCTGAGCTGTTCTCTTTATACATGTTAAAAGTGTTATAAAGGATTAAAGTGTACATCACTTTGTTTTCTTGTCAACTTGTAACTTCAAACTGTGGCATTATAGGTTGCAACAGGCCAAGACTGCTGAACATCATTATTACACTGTAGCTCTGTTACTCCAGACAAAAGCAAAAAAACAAAACAAAACTCATGTATCTAGGGTTAACTTGTCCTCTGATTTATGACAGTGAATGTGCATCAGTATTGTGTTTTGAGTCTTATCCTGGTTGTAATATTCATGAACATTCATGGAACACTAGATTATTCACATTCCTACATACTGTACCTGATTCTAACAGTATCCAGATTTATCAGGATCTGTGTGAAGCTGCAATTTGATTTCTAACTATCTCAGCCACTTTGTTCTGTACTAACAGAAAATGTTCAAAACCTGGGTGTTCATATACCACAATATCCTGGTTATTATCTGTATACTCAAGGTAGCATATCCAGATTTCTCAAAAGTGGAATAAGGCCTTACCCAGGTTTCTGAAACCAGGATAAAATGTTTAAATGCACAAAACATAGCCACCTGTGTATGTGTGTATATACACTTAATGCAGAATAGTTCGCATTATTGCTAGCACCAACTCATTTTGCTTTATATAAACAGGGGGAGAGTCAGAAATTGTCATAGATAAGACTTGTTTTAAATGGTTGATATTTGTTTTTCTGATGAACAGTCTTTTGATTTTAGCCACTGAACTCTGCAATCCACAGCAGTGTTTCCCCTATAACAGTACAAGCATGATTCCCCACTCGCCCCACTTTGGAGCGATGGTCTTATTCCTTCCTTCAAGCTCGGATCCTCTACCAGAGGCGTGGGAGCTTGAGGGTCCTACGCAGTATCTTAGCTGTTCCTAGGACTGCACTTTTCTGGACAGAGATCTCAGACATTGTTCCTGGGATCTGTTGGAGACACTCTCCCTGTTTGGGGGGTCATAGTCCCCAGTGTTCCTATTACCACGGGGACCACTTGTGCCTTCACCTTCCACATCTTTTCTAGCTCCTTTCAGCCCTTGGTTTCTCGAGCGTCTCGTGTTCCTTCTTCCTGATGTTGCTATCGCTTGGGATTGCTACATCTATCACTACGGCCTTCTTCTTCTGTTTGTCCACCACTACTATGTCTGGTTGGTTGGCCATTACCAGTTTTTATCTGGAAGTCCCACAGGATCTTAGCTTGGTCATTCTCAACACACATTCAGTGTGTGTGTGTGTGTGTGTGTATTTTTTTTTTATATAATGCCATCCAGTGTACATTCATTTGTAAATAATTATTTGCATGTGGCAGTCTCTGTCAGGTGCCTCTTTCCGTGTCCCCTCCCTTCTTCAATCTGATTCACTTCTGACAGCTCTGGTAAGAAAAACAAATAAGCACAGGAATACATGAAAAAGAGGAATGAGAGTGACCCGAGTATATCGCTTTTAATGGACTTCATACATACACTGAGGTTTATGGAAATTAAGCCTTATCTTTACTGATTCTTCACCCAGGTTTCTCCAAGTTACAGTAAGTTTGTGATATTTAATGTTTTCTCGTGGAACCCCAATGTCACTGTATTTGTCTCTTGTGTGCACTTTCAATACATTACACCGATATCAGTAATCAGTGTTGTTATAATAGTTTAACATAACTGATCACTAAGTAGCGAGGGCTATAGCTTTAGCATAAGCATCTATGACACACATATACAGGCTATGAGTCAAACAAGTTGCAGGCAAACCAGCGAATAGAAGCAAACATAGAACTAGAGCGGTTAAACAACTGCAAATATAACCTGAAGTTGGATCAGACTACCAATGGTAAGTTCCAGTTTGTTGACGTCATACATTTAAAACTAAGTTTTAAAGGTTAATGTGTTAAGCTTACATTTTTGCTATAATTGAGTTTTTTTAATAAGAAATAATTATGAAAATAGCACAACTACACTGTCTCATAACTGATATAATCTTGATTCGTAGGAATGTTCTGTCACATGCTGTCAACATAAACAGTCAGAAGAGCAATATCTCAGAGGGCTTTAATTGAGGCCCCCTGTAAGACAAAGGAGAGATGCCCTGGATGCCCATATCGGATAAAGTTTACATGGAAATTGCCAACTAAGTCTTGTGTTATGCAAGAAATAACCAAAATTTTAGTGCATACATGCAAAACCTCAATCATCCACTTGCCACTGTCCCTGAAAAATCTTCTAGGGGAAACACTGCGCAGGCTTTAAAATAAGTCTTTGTTATACTTCAGACCTGACACACTGAATGGGTGGTGCTTTGTACATTTGGACTAATGTACAAAGAGAGGTGCAAAAAGAAAATACCACCCACACAGTGTGGTAAACCAATTCAAATGTGTCCTCTATAATCACACAGCAACAACTCAGCTAAGAGCAGACAGATTACACTGTTGTGGGAAGAAAAGCTAGTGAACCTTTTTATTGCCTTTTCCCTCCATAATTCCTTATGATTCTCTATCTTTACCCACATTTGTTCTCTACCTCCCCCTCACACTACATCGTGCAATCTATGTCTCATAATAGACTGAATGGCATTATAACATGGGGCAGAAGAGAGACAGTCTCCCCACTGCAGAGCTCCAGTCTGAAGTGACAAACAAGTAAGCACATAAAATGCTGAACATCAGCTGCCTTAAACTACAGAGAAGAAGAACTACCTCTCACTTTCCTGTGTTTAGGAGGATGGTTTTTGGATTGTCCTTCTGTGACACAAAAAATTAAGAAAAAAAAAATCTTATTGCCATTCTTTGGGTTTGTAAACAAAATTGTACAGTAGAGCCAACATCTGGCACTCACTGTTGGTCTCAGCAGGTTAAAACGCTATTCTGTCATCTCCTGCTCTCCATCATCACCTATTGTTCTTTAGTACATCTTTAATCATAATTTAACTGTTGTCATTGCATAGTTTTGTTTCTGTTGTCAGATGGCTGAACCTAGTATTTAATAGGCTAGTGCATAAATTCCACTAGTAACCAACGTGAACAGCAATTTCTGGGCTGCTTCATGGAGACTGTTAGTCAAATCACTGTTTCATGCTTGAGATGTCATCTGATAAACACTTATAAAGACAATGACAAATAATTCCATAATGCAACTGGCGACAGAATGTTGGCTTCTTAAATTACAGCAACACAGCACCCCATTTTCATTTTTTGGAAAGGCTTTCTCTACCCATATGAAATTGTTCTCTAAAAGCTCAGTTTTGGGTGTGAAAAGGCCAGCTAAATCGGGCTGTGGATGCCAATAAGAGCAAAGTGCTTTGGGTTGATGTTTCTTGATAAATGTGTGGACTGGTGCTACTATCACACTGCCCCATCAAAGTCAGATACAAGTCAGTACAAACATGTCACAAAAATCAAGTCACTAAATGGATATTCAAAAATTCAGATGCCCATAATGAGATGTCTGAGAGACAAACTGTTCTATCCAGGATCTCACATCTAGGCACTGTTTGGAGAGTCATCCCTCATTCAGCTTTGAGTACTACACATTACTCTGCAACAGTCAGTGCAAGATAGTACTGAGCTACTTCTCTCTTCATTTGAAAGTTCCTATATATGAAAACTGTGGGTTGGATTTAAGCTTTCTGAATCAACTTAATCTTTCAAATGCTGTAAGAGCAGAGCAACAACCACTGACACCACACTAAAGCAATACTACAATGTCAGAGACTGCTTATTACTGTCTAAATAAGAGAATGATGATTTTTATTTTATTTTATGCATTACTTAACAGTTAAGTGTTAGGTAGCAGGTACAGTATTTCACCCTGTGTGACACTAGCTGGATGTAGTATCTGGATGTATCATAGTCTGCAGGAATGGTACTACTTGTTAAGATGAGAAGGTCAAGTCACACTACAAATTTGTCTGTATGAAGTGAAACAGAGGTGCTCAGTGGACCAGACACAGAAATTGTGTTATACAAAGTAAATACATGTACATTCTGTCAATAATAGAGTGCATCATTCCCCCTGAGTCTGAAAGATTTTGATTATGCTTTTCTAACATTGTGGCAGGTCTAGATTCACAAGTGGCTTACTCATCATTCCGTCAGTCAAATTCCTGTGGATTACTGCTGCAGTCAAAATGCTGAAATCCAAATGACACTAACCACACAGCTGCAGACAACACAAATGTTAACAAGTCATAAGTCTTTGGCTACCCGTACAAAAAAGCAAGCCTGATTAACACAAAACAGTGTCACTCCAACTCAGTCACCCTCATGCCATGCTCCAACTCTCCTCTACTCTTTTCCACAGCATTTCAACCAGACAGCCAAAAGCTGACAAATGATTATACTGAAGCACGCCAAAAAATCATAGCTCAATCTTCCCTCTCTGTATGTGCACCTTAAGACAATGCAACAGAAGCACTGGCAGCAGACCTGCTTTGCTGCAAACGGTTAGCAAAACAATGCAGCTGAGAGCATCACTCTAGCAGTTTGTCCAGAAACATTATATCAAGATCAGTTTCTCTGCCAGGATACCTAAGAAGGGTGGCTCAGTTGTTTGCAGGGCTGTCTCTGCGTTTGTGTGAGCATCTGCACGTTTGGGCTATAACACCGTCACAAATGAAATCGACTTTGAGGCAAGCTTTAATACTAATCCAAGACTAATCAATTTCTCCTTACAGCAATTCAACTGTCATACAATGCGCCAATTAGGTTGTCTGTTTATTCGCATACCCAATATCAAAACACCAATATTATGGTGAGTGTCACCCAATATCTGGTCCTTGCAGAGATTTTAATTTGTCAGTCGAAAGGAAAGGCCTACAGGTCACTTTATCATGTTATAACTTAGATAACCCGACAAAATGAATGACGCCAACTTCTCCGGTGACAGCCAACAAGTGTGGTGTCTCAAAAACCCTAAATAATAACAACAATACTCATCTGATTGCTACGATTAGAATTGACAAATCACTTTTGAACGCCTGGTGGAATATCTGAACGACCACTAGCAGGTTAACCGAACTAGCAATCACCTATCTTACACAGCGTCATAGTAAAATGTTCAGCGAATTACTGGTAATGTAGCACGTAGTATGTTCGACAGTATTTTGATTAACCTTAACTAGACCCTAGAAACTACCCTTCTAGAAAAGACATACATATTTAATAGATGGGTAGTTACACAGAGTAAATATCGCGGCAGGTACCCGTCGTTAGCTAACGAGCTTGCTAACTGTGTTGCAGAACTTACCTGCATAATAACATGACCTGCTAACAAGCTAACAAAATGTTTACGATTTGTTATATTTTTCTAGCCAACTTACCTTATCAATGTTAATCTCAACTGGCAATCTTCTTGACTGGCAAACTGTCAGTGACAGTGTTTCCTCGCTCTATTTCGCTCTGACCAAACCAGTTTGGTTAACTATCCGTGCCCACGTAGCTAAGCTAACTCACTCGCTCGCTGGCTGGCTAACGTCGACAGTAGCCAGCAGCTACTTTCTATTATCAACCGTGTCCTGTGGTGGCTGGTATCGAAGCTTGTGTGCCTGTCAGTTGACTGAACACGGTCTAGCTGACTATTCGCCTTGTTAGGACTCTCAGCAGTCGCTCGCTCGCTCACTATCTATTGGAAGTGACACAAGCTTTTACGGTATGTTCTCGGGGATACCAAAATAATCAGTGTCAAAACGACATGAGGAGGAAGGCCATCTTGTTGACAAGCAGCTGCATAACGCCCACAGCCAATAGCGATGGAGAGTCGATGGTGTGCCCATATATGGCGTCGGCACAACTCCCTCCCTCTACCCTCTATTCCCCCCCCACACACACACACACACACTCTCTCACTCACTCACTCACTCACCCACTACACTGGACTACACTAAAATCGCTGCACTAAAGGTCACTGTGCCAAAAACAGGTGGGAAATCCATATACACATATGAGGCACCTTCACACTCATAATAAACACATTTCGCTCTGTGTGTATTACCACTATCTATTTCATACACTAGCCATATTGTATTTGTCTTTATATTCTTTCACCAACAATATTCTGCAATGTATATTTCTATAGTTTTGCTCAAATACTATAAACACTTTCATACTTCATCATATGGTCTAATTTTTATTTCATGCTTAAGTCATTTTATGTTATGCATCTTAATATTGCTTCAGTATTACATTACATTACAGTATTACATTTTTGACCTGTAATTTCTATTTACTGCAATGACCCAGTTTGCCAACAGGGACCATTACCGTTTCATTTTATCTTCAAAAACCTGTAAATGCTTGTGTGTTAGAAACATACAACATTCTGCACATAATGTACGAACTGTAGCTAAGATGTGTAATTGCATATCGCCATTTAGAAAACATATGCGGAGCATATTGTATTTTGGTAAGTGTACGTCGCTGTACGTGCATGTATGTTTACCCTATAGCGAATTTCACCCCTTTGATTCTCATTGGCCGTAAATTGATGCCCGCCTTATCTTGGCTGTAATTGGGCTGGCTGTCGTAATGTATGCGTCAATCATCTTTTGGTCTGCGTTACTATTGGTTAAAGAAATAAATCCCGCCTTTCTTATTATCTGCGTTCAATATACGTCCTACTCTCACTGTGATTGGATCCCAATCAAGCCAGTCAAATTTTAACTTCCGGGTGTTTTATCTTTGCAAAACAGACCGTTCAACCGGACAGTGGTGGATGCGGGCAGGGAATGCTGTAACGCCGGACAACACATTTGAAGGAAAAGTGAGTTACCCTGTTTACAACAGTATAATGCTTCATTGAATGAAGTATTTTTATATGGAAGAATAAACCCTGGGTATAAGTGTTTGAAAGGAGCTAGCTTGTAATTTTAAGATTCATTCAGCAGTTACTAACGATTCAGTAGCTAGCTTATGAGCTAGTTTGGAAATTGTGTAATTATCTTTATTTTAGTAAAGAGTCTTGTAAATTTGTTTTGCTTAGGTACTGTACGTCACTTTTGCACCATTACTGTAGGCAACACGTGTTCATTAAATAGAAGCATGGCTTTAAATTATGGACAGCCAATCATATTCAATCATAAGTTAAAACATCTAGTGGGGGTAATATAATACACGTTTTTACATTGGTCTGTCACAAAACAAATATCACCATAGAGTTATTATCTTACATTTATTTGGGCTAAAAATGAGGTGTGTGTCTGGTACTTGTGTAGTTCTGTCATGTTCATCCTGTCATTTATTGTTACTCATTGCATCATAGCTGTGCAACTTGTAACACCTTCCTCTCACTCCATCTCTCTGTATGAAGCATGCTGTCAGAAGTCCTGCAGGTGCTGCGTGGGGCTGGTAAAGTGGGGTCTGCCCTGGTCACCACCCAGGTAGAACAGCTCAGATTAATGGCTTACAACTCAACACTGGGAGCAGGACTCAAAGTTGCTCAGGATGTGGTGGAAGGACTGGTCGGTACCTTTGTGGACAGAAGCAGTGGGGTAGGGATAGTTGATAGACTGATGGATAATAATAATGTTATATATACATGTAGTAATTATTTGGATAAATGACTTGTCTAACACTCTTGTGTCTGTAGCAACAGTCAGTAAAAGAGGACGTGTTTCCGGATGTGGATGGCTGGGAGAATATGGACTCTGATGAAACAACCAAATGGTCCGTGGGGTCTGACCTCCCCCCTGATTCAGTCCAGCAAAGCCAGACAGAAGCTGGAACTGCAGCAGAGATGTCAACGGGTATTCTCAAGTTCCATTTGTTAGCATGTACAGGAGGTGACATACACTCTGTGTATGGTGCTGAAGATTGCTTTAAAAATTTTTGTGAAATGTTAACCTCAATGACTGAATTCAGAACAAATGTTTAACTTAAGAGAAGTCATCTCCAGGCCTCAGACAGTAATTATACAATGTCACTGTATTCCTAATTATTATTTCCACTTCAAGTACCAATCTTCCGTCAGTGTTTGGTCTTTATATTAATACGTGTGAAAACTGTAGAGTTCTGTCATGACTTAATCGATTATTTGAAACAACTAAAGTCTCCCAATTATTAGTTTTCCTTTCTTGTGTGTCAACATGCCAATATGTTTAGACTTCAGAAGAGTTGTGTTATGCCTCTCACTTACTCAGGTCATGTATTCAGTAAAAAAAATTACTC